GTAACTTTGTTACCAAATTGTACAGATGCGATCACATATGTGTTTAACGTTCATCTTTCAACTATAAACCAATGTCCATATATGTTATCACGTAATATATATATGTGTGTATGCCAACATTATGCACTACAAATATGCAACATAATTTACGCACAAACGTGTCAATCAAATAGGAGACACTATATAAACGAAAGAATTAGAAGATAGTTACTAGCATATTTGCCTATCTTGCGGCACATAGTTTGGAAGCCAAGTTTGAGCCGATCACAATAACACACAAATTCGTGCTGAACAATTTGTCATTATAAATATATTAGAATCAGAACGTCAAGATATATCATGTTTGATATTTATTGGACACACCATCAGAATTATCGCTGAATGGTTTAATGTTATACAAAAGTCCATACAATTGCATCAAAATGTTATCAGAAAAAGGAAGTAAGGAACCAGCTATTTAAAAAAATAGTTTGTTCGATGAGAAAAGTCAAACAAAGAAAAAGATGTTTTTGCACCCTATGGCTATTTCGACCCATTTTGACCACCCATAAGGCGAAGAAAGGTCACCAGCAAAATCGCCGACCACATGAAGAGCATGATAAGTAGAAAAAGTAATATAGTGATAGTTATTAATTAAAATTTTCCATTCTAATGTTAACGAGTGATAATGATATTTCACCGGACTAATAACATGTCATTCTCTTCTGCAGCCTAATTGAATGCTACGAAAGGACATATTTTATCTAAAGTTAATTCATTATGTATATGCCTAGATCAGCGGATCTTAACATTGTAAAATGCCCGAGGAACATATTTTACCTGTACACCGTGTATAAATGCAAACCCATTAGCATTGTGACAGTAAGGGATACATACACTTTATATTAAGTGTCTTTTCGTGACATTGAATATTTTTTCAAAACAAAACTAAACACGTGATAAACATTATAACTCTTTTCAATGTTAATAACATGCCTGGCGCATTTAAAACATCATAGAATGTTATGGTCACATCGTCCACAACTCATTTATCGATCTGGTTTACTAAGCCTATATTTTCTTATTTATAATTCGCTAAAATATAAAACCAGGGAATTTCAGTGGTTTTATATGGCGACATCTACATGTATCTTGATTTGATGTTGGTATGCCTCTCCAGAGCTAGTAAAGGAGAAGGTAAGCTCCACATGATCTATACGATGGCCGACAAGAGCCTGACACAAAGATATGACTTTTCATATCTTTTTGTACCACGGTACACTTTTATAATTATGGTACAAAAAGATATAAAAATTCAAATCTTTGTGTACCATGTAAAAGTCTATCATAGTACATAAAGATTATAAACAACTTTACAAAAAACCTCTTTACTTTCACATATATATGTACCAACAGCCGATATCAGCCGGCAAGATGATTTGAATTTTCATATCTTTCTGTACCATGGTACACTTTTGCCCGGTACAAAAAGATATGAAAGCTTTTCTCCTTTTTGTACCGTGTTACACTTTTTTCATTTATTTTTGTACCACCTACGGTACAAATAGATATGAAAAAAGTGTACCACCAGACCATCATAATGTTGTTATCGGACACTGTGACCAGAACTGAACCCGAATAGTGAAGCCCTAATTACAACGTCGAAACAAGTCGTTTAATCACTGCTGATGAAAAACAGAGTTAGTTGCAATTGTGTAAGTATTGGGGCCTTGACAGGGTCTCCAAAAGGGAAAAGAACATCTCTATATTTGTGTCATTTCCCTTGTTTCGATAGTTGTCCAGATTATAAAAGAATCGTACAACTAGCTCATCTTATTTCCCCTCAAAAAATATAAAAGGGTAGACTATTTATCCTTCGAAGTAATTAAATTGATTGTCCCCTTTTGTCCCCTTGTCCCATACGGACCCCGTCGGCGTTTTCAACTGATTTGGAGTTTCTTTCATTTGAGAAGTTGAAGCGCATAGAATACATTCGAAATGTAAGTATTAGAAAAATAATTCATAATGACTTCCTTTTTACCGTAAAACTTTTATAAAATTCTGTAAAGGATATTGAACAATTGATTTCAATTTAAATGAGTAAGTAATAGTTTGGTAGCTCATTTGGTGTAATCAAAATAACAGACATTCCGTGCGATAACATTTCATTGTATGTGATGACAGCCTTATCGGGGTGTAATTTGTCATACTTGGTAACCTTTACGTCTGATGGTTTCACATGTTTCTGTACCATGGCTGTTTTCGGCCGTTATTTTGGTACAGAAAGATACAAAAGCAACGGACTGATTTTATTTCTGCTTTCATATCTTTGTGTACCATGGTACACTTTTACATGGTACACACAGATTTGAATTTTAATATCTTTGTGTACACCATGGTACAAAAAGATATGAAAATTCATATCTTTTTGTCAGGCTATTGTCGGTCATCGTAGTTTTCGGCCGTTATTGTGGTACAGAAAGATACAAAAGCAACGGGTTGATTTTATTTCTGCTTTTATATCTTTGTGTACCATGGTACACTTTTACATGGTACACAAAGATTTGAATTTTCATATCTTTGTGTACCATACAAAAGTGTGCGACGGTACAAAAAGATATGAAAATTCATATCTCTTTGTCAGGCTCTTGTCGGCCATCGTAGATCTAGATATAAAACTGAATTTAGATAATGTGTCATTTCGTAGCATTCAGTTGGGCTGCCAAAGAGATTGACATGTTATACATATATACGTCTGGTGATATATATATTTATGAAATGAACTGCCTCAATGCTAACTATTGACAACGTGTGCTTGGCTATGTACCATTTCAATACCTAATGGACAAGTTAAACATATTAGAGTTACTTACATACGTTCTGATTTTTAATTGGGTCTATCTGTATAACTTATCATGGGGGTTAGATTTAGGGTGAATACACGGGGGCTTGTTGAACTTTCTATATATTTTGTTTATATATTAGGGTACGATTGTATGTATCAGAAGATACCCTATTTGTAGAAGTTAAAACCACTCAGCATTTTCTATTGTTTTTGATGTATTTAATATCTTTTTTTCCCATTTCAAAATATATGTAAGAATAATTCTCTTAAATTCTGTAACAAATCATGCTCTGTTATGGATCGTTTATCACAACACGCAGAAGACTATTGAACAAGAAAGATTTAAACTTCCTATTAGTAGACTTAATACATGTTGGCTAGGTGTGTTTAAACCTACCTGAACGCTGTTATATGTTATTGGGGGTTGATCATTATCAGGGTATGCAACCCGGATGCATCTTTGTAATGCTTAATTAGCATAGTGTTTTATTTATGTAACACTTTGACCTACAATGCAGACAGTGTATTAATTGAAAACGACATTTATTTTTGTTTTACATTCGAAACGCTTGTCACCAAACAAAAACACAATTTGTTAAAATAAAATAATGTAAACGGATGACTAAAAATAAACTTAAGAACACAGAGCTCCATACGACCTGTTTAGTTATATTTGCGATGGCTGATAAAAGTGTAGTAATGTTTTCAACCTAATAAAGACGAGAAAGGATTATATACTAGAAGTTGATTACAAATAATTTCTTTACTTTTCAAATCATGCTCAGTGCAGGTTAGGAGTTGTCCCTTCATAACATTAAGTATATCAAATAAAAATCAATGTTAATTAACACCCCTGTGTTAAGCCCCAATATTTTTTTCCTTCAATACGTTTCTAGATGTGATAAAAGTGACACAGAACATAGTTGTTAAGCCATAGAAAAGTGATATTTTAAATATACAATTCTTATAAGCAAATTATTTAATTTGGTTGTTGATGAGGACACGCGATATTTGACCACACCGTATGTATCTCCTTGGCTTTATTGATCAACTTCCTCTTCCCCAAAGGGGTTAATCACGTCTAATACCTTTCGATAATTCATACAGTATTGTCTATCAGATAAAATGATCAAACAAATGCATAAATATTTAGTATTTCCCTTATATATCGTGTATATGAAAACCTTATATGTTAAGCCACCTAGTCATTAAATCGGCATTCACTTTCGGTTTGGTTTTATTTGTATGGTATATACGCAGACGGTGTCCGCCGGTAAGGGTGTGGTGGTAGTGGGTGTGGTGGTAGTGGGTGGGTGGGGGGGGGGGGNCTGAAATGCCACATCCCAAACTTTGCAGCGTGACACTCATACCAACAATAGCTAACAGAATGTTTAAAAAATTGAATCTTTTTATTCTCGTGGCAGTGTATTTATTTTCTTCTTTTTCTTACATTCTATTGTACGTTTATAACACTAAATGATGTCGACAATGTGACAAAATACAGTCCAAACTTCGGAGCGGCCCGCTCCATTTTCAAGACATACAAGAGACGGAAAAAGACCATAACTATACATTACGAAAAATAAACATTAAAATATTTGAACAGAACAGCGAGATAGCGGTAAAACATGTAAATGATCGTGTGATCGTAGTTACATAAAGAAAAAAAAAAAACCGAAGACTAAATTTCGCTGGTACTTTCGCCCCTTTTGGGGCTCTCCAGGAGAAATGGGTGAAAGTACTATTTAGGACATTTAGTCTCCGGTGTTTTGATTTATTTATATACTATTTATTAAGAAACATGTACTGTGATATTATTGAAAGATTACATGACCTTATACGTTATTGCTTCGAAGAGGAAGTAATTTATGGGGTCAGCACATGTAAACATTCCCAGTACAAGAGCCAACGGTTTATTGCCGGTACACATCCATATAACGTTTTAAATGTTAGCTAGGATTTGGAGGAATGGAAATACCGAAACACGCAGCATTTTGGCCACTTTCTATTTCAGTGTGGTGATATTATTGCATTATATGTATAGTTCACCTATGTCTAATGTAATACACGTCATCTGATCGATACAAACTGAATTCTAAGTAGCCCACGATTCTTCGTAAACGTTGAGCTCCACGTAGTTGTTTGTTATCAATAGCGCCTGACAATCCGGTTCTCGTCACCACTTAAGTGTACTCGTTGCCCCTTATCAAACAACATCAGCTGGTTTAAACTGACGCACCGATATAACGTCACTCAGTGTTTTAAATTATCTGTTAGATTAAGATATGTCGAAATAGTTTATATAGATTTTCAAAAAGGAAACCGTTCTACTTGCATCTATTGGACATCTTGGACATTTTAGGTTCATTTAAAGGGATAAATTTTACATGTACGTTACGTCTGTTTTTTGAGTGTTGCAGGATTCAAGTGTATAAATAATGGAACACATTTCGCCATTTTTATGTAAATATTTAGAAGAACTCTAAACTATGACAATATTCCAAGGAAGTTTTAATAACGATCTAACCTAAACATCTTACAGGTAACCAGGAGAGGATACTATTCATTTCAACAAGGTAAGTGACCTATTAATATCATTGTTGACTTAATATCAGTACAAATGTATACATTGTTCTTGAATTTGATTTCAATACCGGAAAAGTACAAGATAAACTTGTTAAGTGGTATTATTTTGACGGTACAACGATATATATTTTTGTTCATTTATATATTCATTATTCATATTTTTTTTTTTTTTTTTTTTTTTTTTTTTTTTTTTTTTTTTTTTTGATTTATTTATTTATTCTTCCAAGTTCCTATTGTTGTCTGTTCGTATAGATGCTGCGGTATATTTTGTATATTTACCAGTGTATATTGTAACCTGTCGTTTGTTTTTTTCTTATTAATTTTGAGATAAACTGTAATCCTGGTGATGCGGTAATACTTTTCTATGAACCGTTATAAGTCAAATTATGATTTTTAAAAGGACATTGTAAAAATCCATGATAATGACCTAGTTAGTCATTGCGTGAATCTTGTCTACTTTGTAAGCTTATTTAGTTGGAAAGATAAAAACCTAGAAATTATTTAAAATATGCAATTGTATGTCTATAAATAATAAGTGATGCATTCAAGGAATGTGGCTTTTGAAATATACGGATTTATATCCCCCCCNNCCCCACACACACACACACACACACACACACACACACACACACCGCTCCTGTCCCTATTTAATGAAAATCTCGCCCGTCATTTTCACCATTTAGTCCCCTCAAACCTATGCGTAAAGTTGTTAGTCCGTAACATACCGGACCCGGAAATTAAAAGTAACCTCAGATTAAGGCCACGCGCACCACATTAAATTATTCACAAGCAACCAATTCAATACTGAAATATATATATTTTCGTGGAAATGTTAGTATTCTGCTAATCTGTCTATAACCTCTCAAGGAATGCGGTACAGTAGTAACGGCTCACACCTCTTTCCCAGAATTACGTAGAGAAAACAGTCATGTCGAATGCACTGTCAGCTTACATATTTTAAACAAGTCAAATTGTATTTAAAATATCTTCGTATTTAAAAATAACTTTTATTTTTTGTATTTTATTTATTTATTTAGTTTTGTCTTCCCATGATTAATTAATATCCTAAAATACCTATGACTATACTGGCAAATCCTTTCACGGGATGTTTCATTTTGATTTCGTCAAGCTTGCAATGCTTGGGTCCTGATTGCTGTGATGTGGTCACGTAAGCCAGTGGTCTGTTAGTCATTCGCCATATATATCTTCCGTATCATGATAGCGGTAGCTATAATGTCGTTAAAGCGAGGAACACATTTCGATCACAAGCGTTAAGCTATGAGAAAAATAACCACGAAAAATAAAATAAAAAACGGACTGATCCGTTACCTGATCGGCCTACATATATTGATATAGTGTACTATGCCGTTCAATACATACTCTGTTGAAACGGAAAAGAAGATACAATCCAGTCTTTTTCTTAATGCATATTCACTCAATGATAAAATAGTGATTAAGCTAACAAATAGGCGGGAACCTTCTTTTTACCTTTTCGCATTGCGGGGTCGTACATTGACCGTACATGTGTAATTCGTATCAAAGCTGTGTTGATCTTAACCCCCTAAAATACTCCTCAGGTCATTGCATAATTATGTGTTATGATCGTTACCTTAACCCCCAACATGTGTTATAGAACTACTCGGGGTCGGAAATAAACATGAAAGGCCATATCTTCCATTGTTATGAACGGAAGTTGTTCATATTTGACAGAAATGCTTGCTAGGGTGAGGGGGTCTGCAGGTAAAATTTTTAAGAGCCTGAGTTAGGGGCCGGGAGGGGGGGGGGGCGGATTTCAAAAATCTTCTTCTTTAGTTATAAAAGTGCTAGTATAGGATCAAATACTACCCATAGATGTAATGGCATTTTTATGTCTCCCAGGGCCCCCGTTTGCCCTGAGGAGGGGGATGAAATTTAGTATAGTTTATATAGGAAATGTACATGATGGGCCATATCTTCCATTGTTTTGAAAATAATTTGTTCATATTTTAGAGAAATTCTTATTAGGGGAGGATGGTCTGCTGGTATAAATCGTGTGAGCCTGTCCCCTAGGGGGCTGAGTTAGGGGCCGAAAAGGGGGGAAATTAAGGGAAATGTCAATAATCTTCTTCTCCAGTTCTAGAAATGCTAGAATCAAATACTACTCATAGCTGTAAAGGCCTTTGGGTGGTTTATTGCATTTTTGATTTTCATGTCTACCAGGCCCCCCGTTTGCCCCTGTTGAGGGGGTGAAATTTAGTAAGTTCATATAGGAAATATACATAATAGGCCATATCTTCCAATGTTTTGAACGGAGTTTGCTCATATTTGACAGAAATACTTGTTAGGGGAGGAAGGTCTGCTGGTATAAGTTTTGTGACCCTGACCCCCTAGGGGGCTGGGTTTGTGGTGAAAAAGAGGCGAATTTCAAAACTCTTCTTCTTCAGTTCCAGAAATGCTAGTATTAAATGCTACTCATAGAAAGGCCTTCGAGTGGTTTAAATACTATGTGATTTTCATGTGCCCCAGGTCCCTCGTTTGCCTTTTGGGAGGGGGTAAAGTTTGGTATTGTTGATATAGACAATTCGACAAATGAACAGCCATCACATACTTTTTATCTCCAACCCAACTTATGTGCTAGTAATAATAACAACCTTAATTCTTTATGAATTATAAAGTCTCCATAGTAACTCTTCCAAGTCTAACCCTACATGTCTGAAGTGGTTACAAATTGGCAGTACAGAGAAAATGTAAATATTGTGCTATGATTGCTTAAATAACCAGGTGAGCGATACAGGCCCCCTGGGCCTCTTTTTCTATCTCGTCCGATCTGTCTGGTACCTTTACGTGATATTTCGCGGACTGTTAACACAGCGATGTAATTATACGCGGGTTAACGGCTGAAAATTGACAATCTGCATTTTAAACATGCTGTGTTGTCGTTACATGTATTATTTTGATGTTGTTAGTTTCCTGATATTGTAGATAAAATATGATTTACACTGTGAAAACGTTATTTACTTTGTGAGGATTGACTACATTTTAAGCGGAAGCATTCGAATGTAGCTTTAGTAGTGTAGAGGCAATATTTATTTGAGGCCCAAGACGGGATAATTGTAGTCTTTTGTAAAATTTAATAGTCTTTTTCGAACTTAAAGGTGCGAGAAAAAAAGCAATTACCTGTGACTGAGCGAGTTCGGATTATCTCAGTCTCGGGATAAGATCCTGAAAAATCACTTCCTATGCTTACGCCTCGGTTGGGATTAAGCCTCGACTACTCCGGTTCTCCATTTGAGGACGTGACATTGCTCGGATTTGACAGAGCTTTGCATTGAGGATGTTGTTAGTACAAATTAATTAAGATTGAATTTAGAGGAAAGCTTTAGTTATTTCTTTTCTCTTGTTCGAATTGTACTGATCACTTTTACTGACATCATGACCTAAATAAATCGAAATATAATAAGTAAAAAAAAATACATGATATGAGAATACTGAAACATGAACAAATTAAAATGCGAATATTAAGATAGTCCCACCAGGCGTCTTCTTATATTCCATCAAAACCCTTTATATAAATCTTAATCTAACTTGAATTTATGCCACGCCCTCAAATGATGACATGTCTAGTTTTCTGCTATTATTTGCTGTGATTTGCTTGCAATATTGATATGAAATATGTAGTTATGTTACATACATAATCAGTAAATTATTCTACCGTCGCTTCAGCTGTTCCTGTATCCTCGATACTCCAGGAATTACGCTCACTTGGAATATGTCTTAAAAATGAAGGCACACGGCTAGCTATTTGATTAAAAAATCTTTACCAATCACTAGACTGTTACCTGCCCATTTGAAGATAACAGAGGAGCGACCGCGAGATTCTTTTGATGTACATCTCAGGATCAAAATTGCCTTCTCTTCTCACCCACAAGATGGTGCACACTTAGCCTTAAAATCTTGCTATGACATACATAGTCCAGGGCTGCAGAGAGCGAAGGTGAGCACATCTCCTGGATGATCGAGGATACTTTGGTCTAAGTCTGCCAATATCTGTGTATGATAGTGTATATATATGCTGAAATAAATGTATTTGTACATGTTCTTGTATGTGTGTGTGTGTGTGTGTGTGTGTGTACGTGTGTATGAGGTGAGATGTTTCCTTCATGAGTTACTTCCCCTTAGCCTTGTGTTAATATGAATTATTTTGTGTAACATTTTTCATTTCTAAAATGTCTAAAATATTATGTCATTGTTTATTCCACTTTGGCCATTTGACGGAGAGAAGTTATATTGGCTTTGCCTGTTATTCTATCCAATTGACTATGCAATCTTGTCAATAGAATGTTATGAACTGAAAATGAACGAGGGTGCCGTAGCTCCAACAGAAAAGCTGATGCAATATGCAGAAAATGCAAATCTGATTGTTCAATATAAAGTCAATATTTCCTTATATCTTATTGGTAAAAAAGTAACATTATATAAAATATCGATTGTTTTTCAGTTCGTAGGCGCTATCGTGTACACGCAGACAATACATCGATCGTTAAAATCGACAATCACTTTGTCTTAACAAAAATATGTCAACACAGAGTGTCACTTAAACATTTATTTTATTAATCAATAATATCTTTACATTATACAGGAAAATCACAACCGCAAAACATTGGGATATAACACTGATATTGTTTTATGTATCTATATATATTTACATATAATAATATGTATATATACTAGCATGTTTATTATATATGTAACAAAACAATAATAGGTCATTGTACTGGAGGTAAAAACATAAACAATGGCATTGTCACGAAAGTAATGTATTCCGTGAAATTTTCGCTGCAGTTTAATTTTCACCCTTTCGCCCTCCGTAATGCGAACGAATTTATCATTACAGCGAAGTAAACATCATAATTACGGAAAATAGCTATCAAATACACGAAATTAACACTGGGTAAAATGGATTTAATGGGTGAAGGGGGGAAGTTTTACTGGGCGAAAATTCCCCGGTTTTGAGTATTAACCTCATCCTTGGTTCTTCAGGGGACTGTTTATTTTTGAGAGGAAAATGCCAAAGTTGAAGTAAACAAGAAGGAATATTGACATCGCCTGTCCTTTGAATTGCAATGGACATAAGATTTATATGTCTGCTTTGACGTGTCAAATTTAGGTATGGTGCTATTTATAACCTCATAAAATTATTCCATTTCGTAGACAAATTCGTTAAGTCATGTTTGTGTACCTCCATTTGTACAGTGCTAGTGATACATCGATGCCACAATTTACAATAAATAACACTAACATGAATTGTATACCTCTATACAATGTCCCTTGTTTAATACCTTTCATTGACACCTCGATATAATGCCCCTCTTTTAGGCATACACTAATGTCCGTCCTTATATAGCAATGACATCCTTTTTAATGCCAGCTAATTCTTCATGAAGAAATGGTGACATTGTAACGATGTTTTATTAGATGTCATGCTATGAGATAATCACTCACATGCTTGGGTTCCATTACAATATCTATTTGAACTACAATATTGGGTCAATAACTGTTTTATTATATCCAATAACATTGTCGTTGTTTTGTCATCAAGTGTTGTTAAATTTGTATGAAGGCCTGGGAAATAACTATCGAGCAACTTCAACGTGAATGCCATTTTAGAGTGATGCCATTGAAGTTATTATCGAACCCTATGTATGCAACAGCGTAGTTAATTAGATAATGTTTATCATACAACCTGAGAATGAAATGTCGTGTGTCCTTCGGGTCCTCTCTAGAAAGAGTAAAAGATATTACCTCTGAGTTCCGAATGACTGCAGCAAACGACATAAATGACAATCAATCCAATCCGAATGGAATGCACGAATTACTAATTGAAATATTGTTTTATGTTGAGGTAGAACAAATTCAAAATGTTATATGCATTTTTTATGATAAAAATAACCAGATAATAAATTTACATAATTATCACAGATCAAATATTTTATTGATTATTTTGATACAGATTTTTTTAAATTTATATCCAAGAAAAGGCAATTATATTTCTTTATTATATTGAAATTATCACAAAACATTGTTTCAAAGGGAATTTAACACGGCAAATAGAATAATTTCATTTTCGTTTTAATCATTTTCAATTTGCCTAAGAAATCTATCATATTTAAAAAAAAATAAAAAAAAAATTAATTACAACAATGAACAATGCTGTGTTAAAATCTATATCTAAACGCCGTGAACATTCAAATTCCCTTGCAGTTTTACTACATGGAGACATCATTTTTTATTGTTCTGTATACATTTATTTCCTCATTGTCATATCAGAGATGAATAAAATAAGACGTGCATGATGACAGATTTATCCCGTTCAAGCAGCAGAATTATTATTACAAAAATAAATCAGAGATGATGTTTATCACACATTCAAGAAACACGATGAAAACGGTATCACGCTTATATTGGCAGATATGATTTTTGCTGTATTTTCATCTTAAAAGTCCTTGCACTTATTCAATGCACATTTGACAGAGGGCAAGTGGTTCCTATTATTTTCAAACGGTGTTGTGTGAAGGTTGAAAAAAAAATCCAGGAGCAAAAACCACGACAGGTTGACCTCGCAAAATTTAAGCGCTTTACAGCACATGTTTAATCATAATGATGGCAATAAAAAAAACTAAATAAATACGCACACACATATTCACAGTCGACGAGGTGATATTACCTAGCAAATGATGAGATTATTTAAATATTGACAAATATGTACAGTTTGACGACCTTGTCTAATAAACATATAATACTACGTTAAGGTAACGATATGATATAAAAGTACGTCACCCCAAACCATCAGTACTCAGCTCTTGAAAGTGACTAAAGATCTATTCATTAAAAACTCGATATACATTTTAAAATCATACACATATCCATACGATATAATATATCTAATATACTTATTTATAAAGGTAAATCATTGTTTATTACAATAGGAACCTGTTGTTGACCAGTTGAAGTTGATATGTAGGTAAATAAATGTTGATTTCATTTTTATTGCTTCTTAAAGGGACATCACGTGAAGAGCCATATTTTTTTTAATGAATGTATGTATTGTATGCACTTCCACTTATGTTACCCCATATTCATAGTCCGTTCCAAAGCTCCAGTTTGACCACTTGAATTGTTCGGGAAAGCCCTGCTAAAAATAGCGCCGATAACTAGGCAGTAAACACAAGTGGTCTGAGCGAGATGAAACGGTTTCCAGAGGGGCCCCATGAGATGGGCCGTCAGGCAACTGCAACTTCTTACCGCGCTATGAAACCAAGTAATATGATGAGTCCGTATGCAAACTTAGTTAACAGTAATCATTCATCATCAGAAGTTAACTGCACGCTTGCCAATATTCAGAATTTAAATTTATTTAGCTTTAAACATATTTGTTGCCAATAAAATTGAACAAGGGATGGGGCACAAGTTTTTACAATTTATCACAGCCTTCTCCCGTCATACATTTACAATGAAATGTCAACAATGATAATAGGCATAAACATAAAGTAGATATTTATAAATATATATTGAATTTAGTACCGGAATGTGACCGGTACAGATGGTACGGGGCTAAACACCTTCCCTACACCAAGGGACAAACCTTTCTATCTAGATATCTCATATATGATTTCCTGTGTGTTTTATGAAGGTAAATACATTGATTGTTATTTCTAAGTATTTATACATGTATCTCTTTTAACATGGATAGCATACGTCACCATAGTTTGAATAGCTTGAGGTATAGAAACATTATAATGCATTCAAGATAAATTTTATAACAAATTATCTGAGTTGTAATTTATATATTTTTCTCTGTATCCAACCTCTTGATTCCTTAGACCTGAATCACCAATGCGAAAACTATTAGCGCGTTAACCGTCATTGCGTTGCATTCAGCCAGGTCCTTCATTCACTAAAATAAAGAAAATATCTTATTTGTCACCGATTAATCAAGTAACATAATATTATGCTTTAAAGGTCTATTGTTTATGTATGACGTAAACATATTAAAAGCAAAAGTGTACTAGTACGTGACGTCACCATCTCAGCACCCGTTATTGATCACAGTTGATAATGTCGTCCTTTATCGTCCTTTTCTCTATTGGATTTTTTAAGGGTGAAACAGTTAACTGTTACCCTCAACGAACTGCGCGCCTACGGATTAACTGTTTCATAAAGCTTTCCCCCATATAGTTAATAAGTGAACAGCGTCAAGATAAATACAAATGCACAAATAAATATGTACGCAAGGATTTCAAGGATTTTTCTAGCCCTGTGCTGTTTCTCGTAGCTAGTTAAGTCCTGCTAAAACTATTTTCCTTGGCCTAGCGGCCTCGGGATACAGTTCTTCGGGGCTTACCTAGCACTTCGGGTAGAAAAACAGTAATGCAACAACTGTATGCTGTTATAGAAGCAGTTATAAATGATAAAATAATGATATATCTCTAGGATAGTATTCGTTGTTTTCCAGAATATGTATCTGATATATTGTGCATAGAAATATTCAATTGAATGGACCTTTCTACAAATTATAGTGTGTATAAGAAATAAAAGCCTCCTGCGTTATAACGGTCACACAAATTGTAATGTAATTGCTATTGTTAATAAATTAAGAGAATGCATAAAACGCATATAAAGCACAAAATCCCCTTTTGACCTGAAAGTGCATTATATCTCCTGTCCGACCACGTGGGCTTACATTATTATCTCCTGCAATGCGGCCCAACAAGAAGGATACATGTATGCGGAACAATACTGTTTCATAACGATTGTAAAGTAATTCAAGTATATGTTATTTAATATCCAAATATGGCAATTGTACATCAAATATGTATAGCTGGTAACTGTCAGAGGACAAGGCTTGAACATGGTCCCCAGCAGAACGGTTACATGATGTGGATTGTCATTAAATCACAACATACTCTAAAACTTATGATCCCCGAGAAAAAGTTGTTGATTTTGTGCAACCTAAATTCACCTCCTTTTATTAGGGTCTCAATTTTTGTTATGTCCAACTGAAATGTATTTTATTTTAGTTTATCTGAGTCAGAAAACAATCCGTTGGAATATAGCCAATTTGAGCATTTTAATACCTGATTTTTTTACCCTAAGGGTGAAGCAGGATCTTAATTTTCATATCATTAAATGACATTACATTATAGAAATCCCAACCAAGTTTGGCGCATTTTGCACTGAAGTTCATAAAAATATACCCTAAAATTGTTTATCCTATAATAAAACTGCCCTCGTTAATAATATTTCCTACTAAGTTTGAATAAGTTTCCACAAAAAATAGGCAAAATATACACAAAGCTGCTAAATCCCTAATAAATTGTAGCTATTATTACCTCGCCGCTTGAGGTAATATGTAAACCGAGGCCAATGCAATTCGGTATTTTAGCACATTAGCACCTTTTCACCCATGAAGAGTAATCAATCATACCGTATCTGAATAGTTCTAACAACATTTGGCCCCATTTTGCCCGCCCATCAGATCACTACGGGGGCGGGAAACATATAATTCGCATGCTTGGTTTGTCTTTGACCACGGAAGCTTCATCAAAATATTATTGATTTCGGTTCAGGGTTTTTAGAAGAGAAGTCGAAAACATGAAATGCAAATAATAAACACTGGTTCTTACGGTATATAGGCCGCTTTCTTTTCGAGGGATTGTTTCGGTGTAATTCCCTGGAGGGGGAGTTTATAGGATGTATCCTTATCGTACTGGGCCAGCTCTCCGGGAAATTCCGTGTCATGCATCTGTTTAGACAAGCGTTTCTCCGTGTTCCCATCATCACTACATCTGAACGTGCAACTGTCCTTCTTCCCGAACAACCAGTATGTTTTGGCCTTTCCTTTTCCCTAAAAGATAAAGCACCTTCTCATGAAAGACAACTTACATTCTAAGAGAATTATTCTTTACAAGATAATGTTTAGGAAATTTTCTTTGTGAGAAGAGTCTTAATTTGCCTATAATTAAAATGCCCTCATTTAATAATATTTCCAACTAAGTTTGAATAAGTTTCCACTAAAAATAAGCAAAATATTCTATCTTTAAAAGATACAGTACATTCTCTCAAGAAGGAACATTTATATTGTAAAAGAAATATTCCTTACAAGATAATGTTTAGAACATTACTTCTTGAATAGAAAGGTTTTATTTCCTGTAGGAAAGACACTTTTGATAATTATAAGAATAACGATAAACTACATTTAAAGGCCGACCTTTATAGAGTCCAAATTTCTATTGTAGAAACATGTCTATTGCAGACCACCTTATAAAGTATACCAAATATCTTTTTAGTACCCCCAAAACCTGTCAAGACAGACCGCTTTAAGTACACCAGTTTTGGTCTTACTAGACGTTTTTCATTCACTGTTTTGTAGGGGCTCATGATTATTCTGCTTACTTTAAGTTTTACCTATTTGTATTTCATATTATTCTATTTTGCCTGTCGGAGTTCACCTGGTGATGAAAACCCAAATGCAGTAAAACCGTTAACGATGTGCTATAAATGCGAGGAACATTTTTTGCAAAGTTGGTTTGTATTTTAAGTTTTGTGATGCACTAGTAAATCATAAATCCATGCATGCCTTCTGCTGTTGCGATAATGATTCATCGGGAAGGACAGTTGTCCTGGCCTACCAGCTCGGTACTGTCTCTTGCTTGCTACAGATAACGTAGTTATTCGGACACGAGTCAGCAAAGATCAAAATAAGACATATGATGGCCATCAAAGACAACGACTATCTCCGAGGTGATCTATTGTTATATATTTTCCAACACATGTCGAAAATAGTTGGTAGTACAAAAACATATGTATATGGCTTGATCTCAAACATACCAAGGCGTTTTGACAGACTAGGCATACATACTTTCCCATTGCCAAATTCGTTGTATTTACTGCGTCTCTGCATCATGTACACACCATCCTTTTTTTGCAGAACACTGAAGGACGAGTACGTCAGATGTATGTGATTGGCTGAAAAACAGTTTGTACTAACCATATTAAAACTATAAAATTATAAAATTATAAAAACCGATCAACCTTATTAAAATTTAATATCAAATCAAATCAACCATATTAAACAATATCGAAATCAATATCAAAGAAATAAGACATTATCAAAAAGTATTAAAATTTAATAATAAAGCAAAGCAACCGTATCAAAATCATTAACATTGTATATCAAAGCATATAAACCATATAAAACAATAAAAAAAAAATATATAAAAAACATATGAAAAAAGGATTAAAACTTGATAGCAAAAGCAACCGTATAAAAAAATCATTAAAATTTAACATAAAAGCGTATCAACCATATATAACAATACAAAATGTATGTCAAAGAATATAAACCATATGAAAAAAGGAAAAATTTAAACCGATCGCATTAAAAAAATGGTTAAAAAAATGAATATCTAAGCAAAGCAACCGTATTAAAAAAAAATGAAATTTATTATCAAAACAAATTGACCATATTAAAACAATATCAAAATTAATATCAAATCAACAATTATATTTTTTTTATATAATTTCAAGAAAAAACAACCATTATAAAAACAATTATCATCTATGTACTACTTTATAGCACCTACCGGTAGCATGATACATTTATTATCATTTGTTGTCAGTATGAGAAGAAGTTGAGAACGACTTGAGAACGACTTGAGAACGACTTGAGAACAACTTGAAAACAACTTGAGAACGGATTTTCCCATTCCCCTGCACCTGGGAACGGATTTTCTCAAAAAAGAACGTCTGCTCGGGCAAGATGACGTCCGAAACCGGAAATAGTGTCCACACAACAGTGATCGGCGTAAGAAAATAGTCCGTCAATAACATATCAATACAAAGTTACGGAAAAATATTGTGAGAATAACAACACCATTTCAGGTGCAAATGAGCATATGGAAAAACCAATAACGATAGGATTGTTTTAAAAAACATTCTACGTAGTTTTTAGGTTCATAGTATTCCTCCGCGCAAAACTTCTATTTGTTTACGTTTGTCACAGGCGATCGTTGACCATTGAGCTTAGAAGTCTTTTGGAAAACATGGCGTTTAGTTGAGTTTTTTAAATGGAGAAATATATAAGGTAGTAGTATATAGATGGTAAATAGTTTATCATACAGTATTTTCAGTGTTTGTTGTTAGAACAATTTTCTCATCGCTCGCACGTAGATAAAATATCGAGTACACCTGCGGTGGCCTCTCGATTTGATCCACGTTTTCGCGATGAGAAAATATTTCGCACGACAAACCCTGAAAAAACAATGTCTATAAATATTACAATTTAACATCAAACAAAATCAACTATATTTTAACAAAGAAAAACTATAACATCAAACAAAAACAACTATATTTAAACAAAGAAAAACTATAACATCAAACAAAAACAAACTGCATCAAAACAAAGTGAAAATTTACCGCATGACGAATGGCTTTCTTTCTTTTACAATAAAAAACCCTGACCCTTTCCATTAAAATATAAAAAGACATCAACATCGCTTTTCACAGGTCACAAATATTAAGTAGGTATTTTAAAACTGTCAACCATAACGTGTTTGACAGTGAACGGTTAATCAGGAATTACTCAATTCATAGTTGTATGATGCAATGTAATTCATTTTTATAAAACTGTATCTATTACCAGATTTTAAAGGTTCCTATCACCAGTGTGTGAAGGTTACTTCATTTGTCACGTGTTTTAGCAACGATTTCTTGTTTACGGCTGTGCTTTCAAATGTTTGTGAGCATGATATATGCCATTAGCAATTCTTAGATGTCTTAGCCGTGATTTTAAAGTACAATGACACGTGTTAATGTTCTTTTTGTTATTAGTTTGTAACATCATAAGGATAAGACAACAAACTTAAATAAGTACTATTCCTTAGTTTCATGTTGACATATGAACGTAGGTTTGATATATGATTAAAATGTACGTGTAATTAGGATGAACATATTTGTGATATATTTGAAGTATATAAATGATAAGAATAAAATTATATTGTCAATATTGAATATTTGTGCTATAGCAATCAAACTGGGCATTCGATCTTCTAAAGACAACGAGATCATAAAAAAGAAGAGAGAATTATATAGATCTTTGGTCACTGTCATAGATATGTTTAAATGTGTCTGTGCTAAATAATGGATACAATATCGGAACGTCATTCATTGATGTATTTGTACATGGTTATGAGCTCTAATTGATACGTAACGTCAATACAAATACAATAACCACTTCCGTTAATTGATATATTTAAAAAAAAACATTATATTAATTTATAACGTATATTATATTTTGAAATTGATATGCTGCATACTGGGAAACTTTCGCCGTAATTTAACTTTCGCCTTTTTCGCCTTCCACAAGATGGGCGAATTTAGTAAATATTAGAAAACAAAATGACAACAAAGTAGTCAAAAGTGAAGGGCGAAATTAACAATTGGCGAATATGGATTTTTCCTGCGCAGGGCGAAAGTTTTCTAGTACATACATACAGTACGTACCTTTAATTGAAAGAAGTACATTCCATGTATCCTAAACATCAGTTTTCATATTCCAGTACAAGTATAAACATTATAGTGAAAATTAAATTTATAACTATGTGTATTATGTATTTCTTGAACATTGACAATCAAACTGTAAGCTGTACAATGTAGATAGATAACGATGCTGTGTATTTATTATAAGTTTGATAAACATCTGCCTATTTAGTCTGAAGAAAAACAAATAAAAAAATGGTTTTCAGATCAGCCAAAGAGACCTGATTTAATTATATTAAAAATAAATAAATACACTTTTCTAATTGTGTATTTATATACATGTACATTAACTCAAAATTAGAAAAGTCTGTATTACGTTTACTCGCGTTCTTCATCCGGAACGCCTTTTTAACCGTCTCTCCAAATAGACTATACCGAGGTAATTTTCTTCCAATGATTCCTGACATCACAGAGCCTGTATTGGAAAGAACAAAAAGACATGTGCTGTTGAGGTTTCATAGAATAAATAACCTTTTCATAAGACATTCAATGTTTATAGGACCAGTGGTTTTTAGGATTGATAGGAAAGTGGACATAAAAGGTTTACATGAGCTGTTTTGCTCCAAACTCAACAGATTTGAGACATACAAATGTATCATGTAGGATTCGGGTCCTTCAAGCATCATAGGGTGTGATGTATGTTTCATGTAAGACATTCATGTTCATAGGATCTGGATATGTGTCATAGGACCCAAGTCGTTCAGTCTTAATACGTAGGTTTTCTATGATCCGTATGATCTTGGTCATTCAATTTCCATATGACCCGAATAAAAAAAATAAAAAAAGATTTTCAAGACCGAATTTTTTATAGGTTTTATAGGACCTGAAAAGTATATAATCTGGTATTTCAAAGTAAAACAAAAGCATTGTGAGATCCTTTGGAGATGCGTGATTCAATCTTAATAGGATCTATGCCATTCAAGGTAAATGAGTTGTGATTATTCAAGATTAAATATATTTTCTAAACGTCTGAGTCAATAACGTTCACAAGGGCCCTAGAAATTCAATGAAATAGAAGCTTAACATTTTAGGATCAGGCCTTGATCAATTGAGTTTCATAGAATCAGGGGCAATCAATTGAGTTTCATAGAATCAGGGTCAGTAGGTGTCTGCGAAGGTCAATATAATCAGAGCCATTCAAGGTAATTCTCGGTTCAATGTTATATAACCTGTGCTAATTCGACATTTCTATGATGCATATTTCTTCTTCGGGAGAACAATGGTATAGGTTATATACCGTCGCCTATAGAAACGAGATAATGATGTCACGCTAAATATTTCAATGCCACTATGTCAGTTGCATCTGAAATCGACATTACAACATACATCTTTATAATACTAAATATGTATTTCAACAACGGTTGTGACCTAAAATCTAGAGGGTAAAACAGCATTATCCTATCTCCAAAATAGTTTTTATCATAGTTTTATGTTTACGCAGAGCTTGGGGGGGTTAATGCAACAGTGACATTAAATTATTGATGATAATGACCTCCTATTGACCAATCGAACATGACATTAAAAACCATACTAGATGTAATTCGAACTCAAATTCATTGAAACAATCAGAAAATGAAAGATTTACATAGAGACCCATGAAAGAAAGTACAGCTAGAAGGACAAGGTGGTCCGGACGGCCAAGTCTTTTTTATTAGCCCTTTCACCCCTATGTTACTTCAGTAGACTCTACCAAGCATTGATATGGATGAGTCCATTATAGTCTACAGTGGTGAAAGGGTGAAAGTATTATTAACAATTGCTATTGGAATTGAACTCAAATTAATTACGTTCTTCAGTTCTTCGACAACAAATCTGATCGAATTATCTTATTATCATATAGCTATACCAGACGTACCTGTGTTGATTCCAATTTTGAGTTGTACTGGTCCAAATTCTGGTAATTGGAAAGGTTCTGAATTAACCAATTTAAGCAAATCTAGGGAGATGTTCGCTATTGTTGGCATGTGCCGGTCGTCTTCCCGTCCTACCATACCTAAAGAATAAAAAAATGTCGAAAATTGAAAAAAGGAAACCTTATTCCACCATTCCTGCCGTGGAAACCAAGGACTGTTAGAGTAAAGGGTACCAACAAGTTTAAATGTACTATTACCATTTTGTCAGGTTTCTTGAAATCCTTTTCATAAGAAGTATTCCAAAACAATTACATATTGCAAAGCGTTTGACTGATGTTTTGTTATAAAATTAAATATTTTAAAATAATAATAGAAATTAATGAAAACAGAAAACAGATAATGAAAATCAAACGCACGATTTTTACCTTGCAAATCCTACGGAGAGTTTAGCAATTTTGCCAGCCAGGAATTATAAATGAAAAACACCAAAATAAGAGCCAAATCAATGGCCGGCAAAGCCTACAGTTGTATCCGAGTAACTTAAGAAGGAAAATTACCAACAGCCAGAAAAAAGTCCCTTTGGTTACTTCATTTCCTATATAAAAGGGAGATTACTCCAAGTTTAAAAAAAAACTCAGAGTGGAACTCTTCTCTGCGATAATAACTGATGCAGTGGTAATCTTTAATTTTACTATCAGGTACACCCTTATGGTTAAAATTCAGAATTTTCCGTAGAGAGAACAAGACAACATAGGGTTATTGCAAACAAATGGAAAACATATCTCATATCTACACATGTAAATGTGCAATATATGAAAATATAAATTTACGTTGTCAACATACCCGATGGAGCAATACTCATTGATAATTATAAAATGTGAACTGCAATAATTTCTTTGTCTCTGAAATATGACGGTAATATTTCTGTTTGTAAACGATATCACATATTACGATCCGTTTTAAACCGGATGTTTGGAATATGAAAGGTAAACAAGTTGATGACCCATCTCTAATACGGGACGTTGTAAATCGACCTTTCAAAAATTAATTATTACAATTTAATACTGTATACAGGATTTTTTTCTTGCTGCAATTAAATTTTCGCCTTTTTATATCATTAATAAACAAGGCGAAATTAACACTGGGCGAATATGGATTTTACCGGTTAAGGGTGAACGTTTGACTGGGCGAAAATTTACCAGTAACTAAAACTATACAACAGATATACCAATACAAATCGTGTCAAGGAGAGTATTTTTTCAACTTGATTACGTACCTGCCACAATCATGTTACTATCCTTGTACGTTTGTACGTGAAATGCATCGTTGTTTTCTGTCAGTTTCTCTATCGCGTTGTTGATATTTGTAAGAAGCTCTACTACTACAGTAGTGGAACACATTGACGTCAGAGCGACAAAGTTGTGTACGTCAAAAAACATGACCGTCATGGACTTAATATTTTCAGCATTTCCAAACAAGTCTTTTTGGAATCTCTTAGCCACAACTTCCGGTACCATCTGATAAATAAGAGTGTTGATTTTCTTGTGTTCCTCGCTTAGTTGTTTGGTAGTGGATACTAAACTTAACGCGTATCTTTGTATACTGCTTGTCAAATTATCAGCCACAAAAATCACCAATGGGCACATTATCAGAACGATAACAAGACAAGACACACTGATGGAAAGGTCCCGTGTTGAGTCGTCAATGACAACGTCGAGTCGACCAATGATTTCAAATCCCAAATTCTGCTGAATTTTCAACAAAGTGTCTAAATATAAAGTCATGTTATCAAACCAATAACGGGCTTTCTGAATGTCTGGGTAGAAAACCTCACTTTCATAGTGCTGAATTTCAAACCGAAATCCGTCTATGATTGCAATTAGGTCACTTCCTGCTTCACTGACGCCTGAAGTGTACAGGCGATCGACTCTGTTTGAATAGAGTTCGGCAGTTTCGTAGAATGCACGAAATCTATAAATAACCGTGTTGTACATTTCAAAATAATTCTGTTTCGAGAAACTGGTCTCGAACCCTCCCTGTACGAAGAAAAGAGTTCCAAGAGCTCGTTCGATTCCGACGTCTTGTTTTCCGCTTGTTAGTTTGAGATAGGCAACAAGAGTTTTCCAGACTTCAGCATCCTTCCCGCGTGTTATAGAATCATATAGCCATGCAATCACTACGCGGATAATGTTAGTATAGAAATCAATCTCGACCTGAAGATTGTATTTCACTTTGGTCAGAAGCTGACGATGCCGGACAAGGTATTCACGGAGTCTGTCCCTCGATTCGAATTCCTCTCGGTTGTCGGTGTCGAGATTTCTTGGCCATTCAGACAGGGCGTATATGGCATTGTTGGTGCCGATATACTCCTGCAAAAGGAAAGTTTTAGTTTCCGGGCCGAGAGCACTGAGATACAGGACGCTGGTATCTCTCTCTTGCTGCAACCGATGAATAAGGTTCCCAAGCTCTACACTTAGTTGTAACTCCTTCCGGGTCTGTTAATAGAATACATTCAAATACCGTTTAACTTCATGAATTCTGATCTTAGTGGCGATACACTGTATCACATTTTCTGGACGTAAAGGTAGTTTAGCATACTGGATATCAAATACAATAGAATCCCTATTGTCTAGTACAATGGAAACAATTGTCTTATAACATAGACAGAATATTTAAGAATTTCTTGTCCAATTGACTACTACAATGCTCCAGATTCTAGAAATTAGGATTTACATTACCAGGTAAATTTGAAAGACATTACAACCCACGTTCTTCTTTTAACAGTATAACTGACGCGGTTTCAGAAACCACTGACCATTGTCTAGTACACACGCTAAGAGACTCTACTTCTTTAAGTATGCGACGATAGAGGGCAACATTATAATAGTCTGTTTATGTTTTGTTTTTGTCTTTTTTGGGTTGGGGGGCTGTTTTGTATTTTTGTATTTTACATGTAGAACATATTTTGAGTTAATAAGGCTTTTTACATACACATAGGATATAAAACTTCACCTTTTCGTTTTCCATCTTTTTGTTGATCGTGTCTGTGAGTGAGAAAAGAGTGAACCCCATAAGACTGAGAATGGGTAACAGGGTCAGACATAACATCTTTATAAGCTGGGACCGCTTACTCGTGTTGAAACCTGCCAACGAAGAAAATAGGGTCTTATGTTACGTCATGCATGTACAGATCTCTTCACAATAAGCGTAACTTTTACACGATGCTTGAAAGATCTTCAAGAGTCTTGATGATCACCAATTATGCCGGGGGGTCATCAAAATTCAATCACGAAAGATTGCGATTGTAGTGTCCGAGCGAGGTATCTGGTAAACTTACTAGGACTGTTTTACTTATGTCGATTCATGTCAATAAAAACTCGGGCTCGGGGAGTGGAGGGTCGAGAAGGGTTTATCTTCAAAATTCAAGGTTTTAGCTCTCGAAAGACAAAGCTTTTGTTGGGAAGATTGGTCGAATTTACACTCTTGTTTTGATGTAGACAGATAGGGTAAGAATTTTTACTTTAGCACAAGGCAAAAAATGCATCCAATTGGTTGCGGTTCCTCTGTCTACATCACACGGGATTGGTTTTTTATGTTGAACTCACTTCACCGCGACGTAATCAATGGCGCATGAAATGTGCGGCAAAATTGATGACATGGCCCTGGTTACGCTGCATAAAGTGATGACGCGATGGTGACGTTTTTAGAATAATATCGCGTATGTGAACTTTCTTTCGTTAGATAGGTAAAAGGAGTTTATCTTTTCTCTAGCTAAAAAGGGAATCACTTATGGGAAGTGTAGGAGAAAGATGTATAGAGAACGGAACTCTTTGAATGCGAGGTTGGGATGTAAATATTCATAGCGAATTCCGCCCTAGGATATTACCTCTTCGAATTATACTCAGCATTTTTCGAAATGGCAGCTGCGCAATTAACATATTTTGAAATGAGTATTTATAAGAGTCTTCAGATGCCTGTATCTGTCTGTAACAGAACGGATGTTGAATAGAGTGGGTGACTGAGGAGATGTGATACCGGATATTAGATAATCCTGATTGAAGAATCAAAATAGAAAAAAAATGTGAAAGTCACTTACCATTTTTCTTTTGAGGATTTTCATCCTCCGGTATATCATTACTCAAGGGATCTTGCAATGCAATACAAAGACTCTGTCTTGGCATCAATACATCTTCTGCTATGAACTCCTGCTCGTTTGAGGTACTGGGACTAAAAGATACAAAATTAATCTTTATTTTGTGTTATTTGTTTGTTTGTTCGTGGTATCATGTCTTTACGACATTCAATGTCATATTACAATGGTGTCTCCCCTTACGATTTATTATGGGATTCAGCTAGCCTTCTTTTTTTGTACTTAAACGGGCTTCATACATTCACAGGAAAGGTAGTCATTCCATGACCGTTTTAAGAAATTACTTCCGATTCTTTTGTTCAGAGTTTTTTCCCCACTGCAAAGGTCATATGGATTTGATTGCCCACGGAAACGTCAATGAAAAGAAGTCTTAAATAAATAAAGTAAAAGGCAGAGATCCAAAGGGGCAGTAGATCAGTTTTTGTTTTATCAATTTCCCCGTAGCTGACGACAGAAGAAAACTCCCCCGGTTCTGCAGGAGATTCTTGCTAACTGCCACTGACTAAAACATGTCTTCGATTTCCCTCGAGGGGTGGGATTCTTAAGTTGCCAAACACGAGGGTTTGCGAGTGTCTGGCAACTTTCCCCGAGGGTTGAGATTCCAAATCTCACCTCAAGGGAGTGAATGATTCGTTTTCTGCAAGATATTCTTTCTAACTCTAGGGTTGAGACGGGGTATTTCCCCTATTAATAACAATGCTAAAATGTCACGTCAACAATCCATCAACGTCATGTCAACCCTGAACTTAGCCTGTAACGTTAACATAACATTATGGTTATGATACACACTGGGTGAGCAGGGTTAGAGAAAAATAGTAATTCACCCCCAAGGGGCTGAGCTATTGTATTACTCTCACTTCCAAGGAGGTGAGAGATGATATTAAAGGGACAATTTAGTGGAAGTTAGCTCTTTTGATTACCTGAAAATCAAGTCGGAACTGAAAATATATATCTCCTAACGAAAGTTTACGTAGTTGATAATGACCCGACCTGAAGCCAACGTCCAGTGTGGTCAGTTTCATCTTTTGGGAAAGCCGGTGATAAAAATAGCAACGACCGAAATAGCGCAATATCTGGGCCTTCCAGTGAGAAGTAAACATGTACAGCAATACGCTGTCGACCGACAACACAGTGTCAGTTATGTGTCTAAGTTCACACATAACACATTCTTGAATTTACACAGACATCGCAAGTAAGAATTATAAATATCATAATATATACCTCTAATCAGATAATTCTGTTCACGTTTGGATTTGATGATTATAAGCACGCACTGAGAGGGTGCCGCAGGAAGAATTTCAAACCGCAGAAAGTACGATATCAATAGATCACCCGATCATTCACAACGATGTTTGAGCTTAAGATGACGTGGGCAGATTATTTTGATTCAGAATAAATGTACTTGTATTCCAGAGAGCCTAGTTGAATAAAGCGAGAGGTTACCTTGTCCCTCGGCTGGAATTCACCGACAGCTGCCGCTAATTCTCCATTACGGATTAAAAACGGCAAGAACACACTGTCTATTGTCAATTTCCCAACATGAATTGGTCATATGGAGTATCAAACTATATAATCATGAAGAGTTTTGTGACAAGGTTATAAAATAATTACTACAACGATTGTCCCATTAATCTTACATCGGTAAAAGTGTGGATACACCTGTCCAGGGTAAAAGAAATCCTTTTATCCCACCCTTCACAGGTGTGTCTCTCGTTTTAGCCGGGAAAGATCAGCTTGTCACACCTAGGGGGAGAGAGCCTTGTGCCGATTAGCACGTGTTCAATTGTGACGTCATTAAAATGCGTCATCGGTAATTGTAACGTCATCAAAAGTGAATGACGATATGCATACATCATATGTGTTTTGGTTTACAAACATGGCAGATTACTGTCGGTGGAGCTGTGACTGAAATAATAGGATGGGAGAAAAATAATCATCCCCTACCTTGAGGGTGTAACAGAGAAATCTCTAACCCTCGGGGTGGAGATTTCTCTGTCACACCCTTAAGGTAGAGGAAGATTCTGTAGTTCTCGCCCAAGGGTTGAGACGTAGGGATTCCCCCGTCAAAACAATTCGATCACGTCATCCAGTGCATTAAGGTTACGTTTGCGATTGTCCTCGATACTCCAGGGGGTATTCTCACTTTTACTCTCTACACCCTTGGAATATGTCATGACAAAATCGAAGGCTCAGTGTGCATCACCTTGTGGATGAGGCGAGTAGACTAGTTTGATCCGTTGCTGTACATCAAACGAATCTCTTGGTCGCGTAACGGTAAAATTGACTGGCTTTGAAGTCGGGTGTCGCTCCTCTGTAATCTTCAAAGGACCGGTATCAGCTGAACGATTGGTCAGGTTTGTTTTTTTACCTGAGACCAATCAAGTAGCTAGCCGCGTATCTTCAATTTTCCGGGGTTGCAGCGAGTGAAAGTGAGCGTATATCCTTGGAGTTTCGAGGATGGGTTACAATGTGTTGAGCCTTTATTATCAGCAGGGTAAGAGAAAAAGAATAATTTATCCCCTTAGGGTGAGATAAAAAAATCTCCAAAAAATACCAGCCTGATGACCATATAATGTTGTTGTAATATCACACTTGATTTCATGTACCATATCCGACATTGTAAGCGCCACGTGTGCTAAACTTCTTTTTAGAAAAATGCAATGATTGCTTCACCTTTAATTTCATCAAAGAACGTTGGCAAAACGAAGAAATAATAAGGAATGCTTTATATGGGATTTGGCGCTTGTTAGATCGAATGTTTCATACGGTGTTTCAGAAGACGAAATCGTAAAAATATTGGGCGCTTTTTAAATCGAGTACGGTGTCAGGCATTGTTAACTCATGTCGATGTGTGTTTGTCACACCGAGAGGGTTTGACGTTGTAAATTGTAACTAACAAGATGCCATATGCCAATGAGCGAGAGAGCGTAGGATGTGTGGTTGTCATTGGTGACACTAGTCAACATACCATAACATAGACACATAAATAACGTTGGGTTCGCCGGTAATTAACGAACTAAGTAAGTGGTAAGTTTATGCCAAAGACTTAAAGAATCAGTGGCCAGAGATTTGATGTCCGTGTGTCAACTCTTGGAACTGTATACGGTGTTGCCGTTTTCGCGTTTTCAATGCTTCTGCAACGTAACATTTCAGGATGTGTCAATGTATATTTCAAAATGTGTCAATGTGTATTTCATAAAGTCAATATCTTCCTCAGAATGTCAAAATTCATTTGATATTGTGCCAATATGTATTTAATGGTATGTCAAAATGTATCTTATTCTTCGTCAATACGTTTTTGAAAGTGTGTTAATATATAATTAATAGTGTGTCAATATGTATTTAATGGTGTGTCAATATGTAATTTATAGTTTGTCAATATGTATTGATATTGTGTCAATGTGTATTCAAAATGTGTCAATATTTATTTATAGTTTGTCAATTTCCATTTGATCGTATGTCAGTAGGTATAAGATGATGTGTCAGAATGTATTTCAAAGTGTGTCAATATGTTAGTGATATCATCAATTTGCATTTGATGTTTTTTTCAGTTTGTTTTTTAAAGAGACAATGAATGTATATTCTATATTGTGACAATATGTATTCCATAGTGTGTCATTATGTATATGATGGTGTGTCAATATGTAATTGTTTAATGTGTAACGTTGTGTGTTTCATAGTTCGTCAATGTATTGTGTATTTTTTCTAAACGTAGCAAACACGATCTTTTTTCACTTGGCACGATTTCATTAAGGAGCTAGTGATCCGTTTTAAGTGAACAAAAATACACGGTAAAGCCAAGCAACTACGTATCGATAAATTTTGAGAAAAAAATTGGTATTTAGGTAAGTTAGACTCGCTTAACTGCCTACTAAATTAAAAAATGCATATATGAATTAATGCAATTAAAAAGTTCTGATTGGTAAAATCACTAATAGTTTGAATAACTGAAAAGTGTATTTGACTTTTTACCTTGAGGTCACGTCACAGTGACCTTAATTATGACAATGATCTCTGCACATTGTCTGTGTGTGCTGGATGAACACTGCAAGTTTCAGCAAGATATCTTTAACGATATAAAGGTTACGGCCCAGACAAGATGTTCCTGAAAAGTATGCACTTATTTCACCTTTGACCTTGAATTCAGGATCACAGTGACCTAATGACTCTGCTCTATGCAAATTATCTGTGGTTGACAGAGATATACCGCAAATATCATCTAGCGATTTAAAAGGTTACGGCCCGGATAAAATATGATTAGAAGACCAGACGATGAACAGTGATAAAACAATATGTCTCCCTTAATTTGAATGGGATACATAAATAGTAACAGCATGCATTGCAATCGAAATAACTTGTCAATGGAAACAGTGATTCATTTCACACCGCTTTAAAAAAAATCTTGAAAATCAGTTAGAAAGTTCGTTTAAAGCTCCAGACGATTGTCTGCATGTTATGCTTCAGATCATCACACAACTCATCAAAACTTGTTTAAGCGTTAACTATGATGTATAGAGTATGCATTAGTGTTGATGTACACTGAGTCAGGTCGTTGAACATGATATTTGTTACCTTTTGTTAATACCATAGTAAAATCTTTAAATCTCTCGTTAATTGACAAAAGCTTGACGACGATACCCTATTCTGCACTGATGCGTGTACAATATTACAATCCTCACCAAGAATGAAAGCATTAGAAAGAAGACCAACTCACACCTTCCTGCTAGATATAACATTCACTTTCACTCTCCACACCCCTGGAATATGTCATAGCAAAATTGAAGGCACGCCGCTGCTATTTGACTGGTGAAACAAAGAGGTAAAACAAATTAAGTCCAAACGAAGTCTGCAACCTGTCCTTTGAAGATTTCAAAAGAGACGACAACCGACTCCAAAGCCGGTCAATTTTTACCGTTACGTGACCGCGAGATTCTTTGACCACTTATGCTGCTGTATTGACCAATTCAGCACTTTGTCTTATCTTGCTCTCTATTAGTGTAATGAAATCGTTGGTAAACAAGCACAAAGCTATGGTCAACTGATACACATGTCACAAGTGAAAAATGGACGCCATCTTTATATAGTGGCGAGTTCAGCAGGTCCATCTGAACTTAAAGACCACCTTTAAACTGCCTATTACAGATAGTTTTATGCTTTAGTCTATATTAAAGACACGACCATGAAAAGGTATCTCTTTATGAACTTCTAAATATGTTTTAGGAATACAAGTACAACTTCAAATCAATATGTCAATTTTGTTCAACACCAGAGGAAGCTGGTGATCGAAAATGTGCAGTGGATTTAATTTTGTGATAAGTCTATGGTAGATTAAGTATTACTGTCTTGTTCTACAAAATATAATGATGAACTTACCATTTCTTGCTTGTCTTCTTACTCATACTTCCCAAAAATATCCAATAAAATACACAGCAAAATTATCGTTAACGAAATCCAACAGGGATGTAAGGCTGTTATTAAAACTCTTCGTGTTCTTCACCTGGCGTATCCTTGGAAACGGGAAAGTCAGCAGCTGCAACCATCCTTTTACGCAACACTAGTAGTATACCGGTTGTCAGGGATACAGCACAAACTGTTTCAATGTTCAAATCCCGAAGAAACATTACCTTCAGCCTCTCCTAGAGCACACGCACACAAAGTAAAAAAATCATTGGATTCCTCGGCACAATATCGTATATTCCGGTTTCCATTTGAGGAATAGGCTCCAATTTAAATCTATACTAGATAAACATTTTGTCAAATAACGATATGTCCGAAAACGATCTACATTTCTGTCAGTTCCGAAATCAGATGATATATGCAATTTGTCTCGCTGTTGAGTTTCAAACGCTAAACAGACATCTTTGTCGTACATTTGGAAAATTTAGATTTTTGCCTTGCGCAAGACTTGACATTCATGTGAAAATCTTATGATGCTGAGCGAACGTTTTATATCCTACTCTGCAAATTAAGCATCAATGTATCAAGTGTTATACTGCCAAACGCTTTTCTGTAGTCCAGAAATTAAAAACAAATTCTTACATTGTAATGTTCTAGAAATCACAATATTCAGTAAAATCACGACTTAATATCTAATCGAGCTCTGAGTAAACGCACCTACATTCTTATCAATTTCTTCTCAACGGCAATAAGGCAAACTACAATATAAGCTCTCAACATTTAAGGTATTGATAAAAAGAACATTCACAGGCAAATGACCTGTTTCAAAGGTTATTTCAACCTGGAGTAATCGGTTTTGGTTTTACATGGACATCTTGGGATAGGGCGTAAGAATTGTATGCTCGTAAGAGGTGACTAAATTTGGGATCTTATCTTTTCTCTTCTTTCTAAACAACTTTCTTCTTCCTAATGTCTCCCTTGACTATGCCTCACTTTTGGCCTTTAGTTGAGCGTTCGCCCCTGTGATGAAGGCTTTGGGCCCCCTCCCCTGGTCGAGACATACCGGAGTCTGTAAAAATGGTAGTTTCTACTCCAGCTTAACGTTCAGCAATTTAGGAGTGGGACGACTGGTTCGCCCGTTGTCAGTATAATGTGACCGGGTGGGGTGTTCTGCTGGGTTTCTTCGGCAGTATGTTTCAGTGAGGTAGCACTATAAAGTCGGCATCAGTTCCGCGCTATCCCGATGAGACAAACACGGACATATCGCAGCCTCCCAAAACACACGCATACATCTTGCACACAGGGGAGGCCGTCCTTAAATGACCATAGCTTTTGATAGGACGTTAAACAATACTAAACCATACTAAACCAAATTCTAGCAGCATATACATCCTGACATAAGTGTACTGTTTGTTAAATATAGAAAGCATTACCGTTGGGGGACTATGGCTTATTTTTCACCATCTTTGCTTCGTGTTATAATCTTTATATTTTTCTTTTCATAAACCATATATGCACGTTTTCCTGCGTAAGAACAATACCTGTATGTTGTTCACAGACAGGAAGGGACAGTGTTTAGTTTCTTGTAGCCATTTAACAAGTTTGCAATCAAATGCCGTGTAGCAACAAGCATTGGTTTGTCACACATTCGGAGATTCCCTTGGTTCAATCAATAGTTTCACAATTGATAAACACTTTTATGCAAGAAAAGTATACCTTATTAGTTCATTTGAGCTTCGATAATGTATTTTGTTTAATATAGTTGTTTTTGTATTTTTTGTGTTTGAAAAAAACATCGACAAGAAGGTTTCCAGGAAATTAAAATTAACGCAACCGCCTCCCGCAATTATCGGGCATTATGCTAGTTTTAAAACGGAATTGCTGCTGTTCATTTCATCAGTCTGATGACATTTGGCAAAAGAAATTCTCTAAACCTTTAAATGCAAGCAACATTTTTTTAATGTTTTGCAGTATTTAAGCGTAAAACCAGACAGTCATGCATCATTTCCTGTCATGGACAGTAGATTTGTTTTGATTTCAAATGCAAATCACAGAAATGTTGTAAGTCTTCATGGTGTTAATTGTCTTGTGCTAGAGCCATCCATTAAGATCGGTAGGAATAAAATCTGACAATACTTATGCCAATACCAAATATCATACGAGAGTGTTGGCTTGACCACAAAAGGCGTGTTCATTAAAGCCGTCAGAAAAACCTTGCAAATATATTAAAAGCCGTCAACTTTATTGAAAAATGCAATCCTCAAGTGCAAAAATGCATAATTCATATCAACTCTACCGCTTAATTTGTGAAGATAATTGCAACGGTTGAATGACTATTAGCGGTAAAGATACGGTAATTAAGACGGCTGACTGACTGACCATTAGCTTTGTAAACGGTTAAGTGCCTGGCTATTAGCTTTGTAAACGGTTGAGTGGCTGGCTATTAATGCATTAGATGATTTAGACGGTTAAGTGACTGTTTATTAGCGGTATAGATGAGTTAGACGGTTGAGTGACTGTGTATTAGCGGTATAGATGAGTTAGGCGGTTGAGTGACTGTTTATAAGCGGTATAGATGGGTTAGACGGTTGAGTGACAGGCTATTAGCGATGTAGATGATTTAGACGGTTGAATGACTGGTTATAAGCAATGATGATTATTTAGACGGTTTAGTGACTGGCTAAAAGCGGTGTAGATTATTTAGATAGTTTAGTGGCTGGCTATTAGCGATGTTGGGGATTTAGACGGTTGAGTGACTGACTAATAGCGGTGTAGATGATTTAGATGGTTGAGTGACTGACTATTAGCGGTGTAGATGATTAGGACGGTATAGTGTCAGATTATTAACAGTGTAGATGATTTAGACGGTTGAGTGACTGGCTATTAGCGGTGTAGATGATTAAGACGGTAAAGTGTCAGACTATTAACAGTGTAGATGATTTAGACGGTAAGTGACTGCTTATTAGCGGTGTAGATGTTTAAGACGGTAGATTGACTGGCTTCCAACGGTGTAGAAGATTTAGACGGTTGAGTGACTGTCTATTAACGGTGTAGATGATTTAGATGGTTGAGAGTCTGGCGATTAGAGGTTTAGATGATTAAGACGGTTGACTGGCTTCCAGCGGTATATATGATTAAGACGGTTGGTTGAGTGACTATTAGCGGTGTGGATGATTTAGACGGTGGAGTGACTGGCTATTAGTAGTGTAGATGATTTGGACGGTTGAGTGACTGGTTATTAGCGGTATAGATGATATAGACGGTTGAGTGACTGGCTTCCAGCGATGTAGATGATTTAGGCGGTTGAGTGACTGGCTATTAGCGGTGTAGATGATTTGGTCGGTTGAGTGACTGGCTTCCAGCGATGTAGATGATTTAGGCGGTTGAGTGACTGGCTATTAGCGGTGTAGATGATATAGACGGTTTAGTGACTGGCTATTAGAGGTTTAGATGATATGGACGGGTGAGTGACTGGCGATTAGAGGTTTAGATGATATAGACGGTTGAGTGACTGGATATAAACGGTGTAGATGATTAGACGGTTGAGTGACTGGCTATTAGTATTGTAGATGACTTCGACGGTGGAGTGACTGGCCATTAGCGGTGTAGATAATCAGACGGTTGAGTGACTGACCATAAGCGTTGCAAACGGTTAAGTGGCTGACCATAAGCTTTACAAACGGCTAAGTGACTGACCATTAGCGTTGTAAACGGTTGAGTGACTGGCTAGTAGATGATTTAGACGGTTGGGTGACTGGCTATTAGCGGTGTCCATGATTTAGACGGTTGAGTGACTGGCTTCCAGCGGTGTAGATGATTTAGACGGTTGAGTGACTGACTATTAGCGGTGTAGATGATTTAGACGGTTGGATGACTGACTATTAGCGGGGTAGATGATATAGACGGTTGAGTGACTGGTTATTAGCGGTGTAGATGATTTGGACGGTTGAGTGACTGGTTATTAGCGGTATAGATTATATAGACGGTTGAGTGACTGGCTTCCAGCGGTGTAGATGATTTAGACGGTTGAGTGACTGGCTATTAACGGTGTAGATGATATAGACGGTTGGGTGACTGGTTATTAGCGGTGGAGATGATTTGGACGGTTGAGTGACTGGCTTTTAGCGGGGTAGATGATTTAGACGGTTGATTGACCGGCTATTAGCGGTGTAGATGATTTAGACGGTTGATTGACCGGCTATTAGCGGTGTAGATGATTTAGACGGTTGGATGACTGGCTATTAGCGGTGTAGGTAATTATTAGTAGTGTAGATGATTTGGACGGTTGAGTGACTGGTTATTAGCGGTATAGATTATATAGACGGTTGAGTGACTGGCTTCCAGCGGTGTAGATGATTTAGACAGTTGAGTGACTGGCTTCCAGCGATGTAGATGATTTAGACGGTTGAGTGCCTGGCTATTAGCGGTGTAGATGATTTGGACGGTTGAGTGACTGGTTATTAGCGGTATAGATTATATAGACGGTTGAGTGACTGGCTTCCAGCGGTGTAGATGATTTAGACAGTTGAGTGACTGGCTTCCAGCGATGTAGAGGATTTAGACGGTTGAGTGACTGACTGTTAGCGGTGTAGATGAGTTAGACGGTTGGGTGACTGGCTATTAGCGGTGTAGATGATATAGACGGTTGGGGGACTGGTTATTAGCGGTGTAGATGATTTGGAGGGTTGAGTCACTGGCTTTTAGCGGTGTAGATGATTTAGACGGTTGATTGACCGGCTATTAACGGTGTAGATGATTTAGACGGTTAAGTGACTGACTATTAGCGGTGTAGATGATTTAGACGGTTAAGTGACTGACTATTAGGGGTGTAGATGATATAGACGGTTGAGTGACTGGATATAAACGGTGTAGATGATTAGACGGTTGAGTGTCTGGCGATTAGAGGTTTAGATGATATAGACGGTTGAGTGACTGGCTATTAACGGTGTAGATGATTAGACGGTTGAGTGACTGGCTATAAGTATTGTAGATGACTTCGACGGTGGAGTGACTGGCTATTAGCGGTGTAGATAATCAGACGGTTGAGGGACTGACCATAAGCGTTGCAAACGGTTAAGTGGCTGACCATAAACTTTACAAACGGCTAAGTGACTGACTATTAGCGTTGTAAACGACGGTTGAGTGACTGGCTATTAGCATTGTAAATTATTTAGACGGTTAAGTGACTGACTATTAGCCGTGTAGATGATATAGACGATTGAGTGACTGGCTATTAACGGTGTAGAAGATTAGACGGTTGAGTGTCTGGCGATTAGAGGTTTAGATGATATAGACGATTGAGTGACTGGCTATTAACGGTGTAGATGATATAGACGGTTGGATGACTGGCTATTAGCGGTGTAGGTAATCAGACGGTTGAGTGACTGACCATAAGCGTTGCAAACGGTTAAGTGACTGACCATAAGCTTTACAAACGGCTAAGTGACTGACCATTAGCGTTGTAAACGGTTGAGTGACTGGCTATTAGCGTTGTAAACGACGGTTGAGTGACTGGCTATTAGCGTTGTAAATTATTTAGACGGTTAAGTGACTTGCTATTAGCTTTGTTTAGGATTTAGACGGTTGAATGACTTGCTTTTAGCGGTGTTGATGATTTAGACGGTTGAGTGACTATCCATCAGGGTGTTGATGATTTAGACGGTTGAGTGAATGACCATTAGCGGTGTTACTTATAAACCGATGGGTTCTATGTCCCTTCCCTTAAAGTCGTTTAGAGTGTTAATACAAAGCGCGTTAAAAGATAATAAGGAATTTGATGCACGAGAAAAGACTCGGCTTTCTTTAGAAAAATCTTGGAAGTTATTCGCGTATAAACATGGAAAATGAACTTGTTAATTGAAAATATATGAAATATTTAAATGGCTGCACACCAGTCATTTGCCTTTGAAGTGTGGTAAAAGCAAGGACTGTTATTCATCTACCGGGGTTAAATTATTTTAAAAAGTATATTCGATCAATTAGTTAAATATTATTTATATTTAATCTACATATAAAGAACTTGGACCAGTTGTTCAAAAGGTGACACTGGCTTATTCAATGTTTCATGACATTTTTCCACCTCTAATAATTTGGACAACATACCAGGTAAAAACTGGTGTTTTTGCATATAATTTTACTCTACTGAAACATTTTTCTATCTTGATTCCTTTTTGCTCATCTAATGGTTGTGTTTTAAAGATCCTCAAAAATAGACAAAATTAGTGCTTATCACTGATAAAGCTAATCACATTTTAAACATGTGTGTCCTTGTTAGGACTAACCTTCTCCCATCTTCCTCTTACACGCGTTGGTACGGGGTGACAAAATCTGTATTTTCGTCATAAATCTAACACAATCATTCTTACCAAAGTATTGGGCAGTACTGGACAAAACAAACATGTCCAGCCAAATGTCCAGTTCTCGTGCACAGGTTCCCGATCTTAAACATCAATTAACGTCATTTCACCTGACAAACGACTGTCACTGCCATCATTTATCGCGGTGTATGGTTAGCTTAACGTATCAGTTATACGTATCACTTGATTTGTTTTGTTTAATCCCGTCAGCGTATTTTATTATCCGATAAACTATTTTCCTTATTAATTAGAACATTTTATTTAAACATAAACTTAAATATTTATCGGAGTATTGCTAATATACATTTTTTAAAGGAAAAACATCGTTTTGATAAGCTGACCAGTCTTCAGAGACAAATAGCCAGTGGTCATCACAAGGATTTTGCCTGTCTCAAGTTCATAGAACTGTACGTGGCGACAGTAAGGGAGGCTAGGAACAATATTCTGCTCCGTAAGTTGTTGTTTGTTTTATCATAAGACAGAATTAAATTGTTGCAATTTTCTGTATCGGTATAGATTCTATTTGAATTAGAATAGGATAGAAAAAGATTAATTTGTCCATGTTTGCATGCTAAAGACGGGACTAGATGCATATTTTCACTGGCGGATAATATGTTTAAATTTGCTAATGGTTTTGGATATATTTGGTACGTGAAGTATGTAGGTCGTATAGGAGCATGTATGCATTCATTAAAAATAAGAATTAAAGATATTTTTGTTAAATATTTGCAGAGGGAATTATCTGGCACTACCAGAGAAAGATGTTTAAAGCAAATGACATATGGAACAATAATGTATTTAATCTGAAGTAATGTTGCCCCTGATGTCGTGAAATCTACATTTAAGATTGAAATGTCGCTGTTTTACTTCATAATATATTTATGTAGATTGTATGCATTAATTGTATCACTACACGGATCCTTGTATTTAAGGCACAAATATATCTTTGACTAGTGCTGAATAAAGAAGAATTATAATCAGCATTCTAATATTAGAATTCGTTTCTTCCAGTTTGCTACTTATTTATTGTCTGTTGTGTAAAAAAAAATGTTGATACATTTATTGATCTGTAATGATGTTGACTATGATGTTTGCATAACCGTAGTTATTATGGTTAACCGACAAATGATACTATCTCATACATTGGGAGGTATATCTTACAAGGAATAGAAGGGTTCAATGGAATCCATCAAAATCCTTTATCCGAAAATCAAAAACAGTATTACCAATATATACTGCTTCTAAATGAAGGATATGCGCTACATCGAGTGGCAGGGGGACGGGGGACAGGGGAGGGGGACGTG